GTTACTCTATATTTACTGTGTATACAACACAAACATATTTTATATTCCTTCACATTCTTGTAACAAGTAACGTTGGTCTATATTTACTGTGTATACAACACAAACATATTTTATATTTCCTTCCATTCTTCCAGTATTACTTGTTATTCTATATTTACTGTGTATACAACACAAACATATTTTGTATTTCCTTCACATTCTTCCAGTATTACTTGTTACTCTATATTTACTGTGTATACAACACAAACATATTTTATATTTCCTTCACTTTCTTCCAGTATTACTTGTTACTCTATATATACTCTGTGTGTTTAATACAAACATATCTGGCCTTTTTCAACAGGACTATTTTTCCCTTGGGTTTGCCAGGTCAGTTTTCCTTTGTTGCTACTTTTCGGAAGCGGAACCTCCAGAAAAAGCCCTGGAATCTAATCCGTATTGACGATCTCCTGGGCAAGCCTCAGTTTGGAATCACTCTCAGCCCCAAGACAAATGAAATGGACTTTTACTTTCTTGACTTTCAGGGCAGACTTCAAACAGTCACCTTCACTAACGTCGAGGTATGATCTGTAAGCTATCCGTAGTGACTGTTAGTGGCTAAGATTATTGTTGTGTGTGATTATGTATTAAGTGAAATACATCGTTTTTCTGTAACCTAATCATAGAGATAAAGCGTATGTATTAACCGATAGCGTTTGGACTAACTATAACGTGTTTTGTACTATAACTAGCTGATGATATCCGATAAGAAAGCAAACATTTTATAAAAGGAAATGTTAAATAATTTTATTACAAATTACGTTTTCATCACTGGTGTAACTTGTAATTAGAGAATACCTATAACCAGTCAGTAAACTCAAAACAAAACTGTTAATGTTAGATAATGTTCCTTTTCCTTCTTTTAGTATTAAATCCCTAATGTCTTCATTAGATGCTAATTACATAAACTGCTTTGTGGAAGGTAATAATTAGCTTCGAAATCAAAAGTCTATCAGAAAGAAGACATGTGCCCTATTTCAGCGGGTTTTTTATCCCACGTCTTGGGCAAAAACCCTAAAACAAAATAGCCCGTGTACACCAACAGATAGTTTCCAGTTGCAAAAAATTACAGTAATCGAGCCAACCAACCCAACCTGGATGATTTATGTTAACACACACACATAATATAGTAAGATGTGTTTCAATTTAATAAGTATTATGGTGAGATAAGCTTGTCGAAATGTTGTACATTTGTTATAAAGTTTCTTTCACTACCCATTCAAGCCGTCTCATGAGATTATGAATATTACTTCAGCTAAACAAATAGTTGAGACCATTATCAAAACATAGCCAAGGATGTTTATTTTGTTCCTGCATGTGGAGAACCGTATTACTAGTGTTTTACTTCTTGGAAATTATTACCTATATAGACCCGTATTACTTGTGTTTTACATCTTGGAAATTCTTACCTATATAGACCCGTATTACTTGTGTTTTACATCTTGGAAATTATTACCTATATAGAACCGTATTACTTGTGTTTTACATCTTGGGAATTCTTACCTACATAGAACCGTATTACTTGTGTTTTACATTTTGGGAATTCTTACCTATATAGACCCGTATTACTTGTGTTTTACATCTTGGAAATTATTACCTATATAGAACCGTATTACTTGTGTTTTACATCTTGGGAATTCTTACCTACATAGAACCGTATTACTTGTGTTTTACATCTTGGGAATTCTTACCTATATAGACCCGTATTACTTGTGTTTTACATCTTGGAAATTATTACCTATATAGAACCGTATTACTTGTGTTTTACATCTTGGAAATTATTACCTATATAGACCCGTATTGCTTGGGTTTTACATCTGGGAAATTCTTACCTATATAGACCCGTATTACTTGTGTTTTACTCTTGGGAATTCTTACCTATATAGACCCGTATTACTTGTGTTTTACATCTTGGGAATTCTTACCTATATAGACCCGTATTACTTGTGTTTTACATCTTGGAAATTATTACCTATATAGACCCGTATTGCTTGTGTTTTACATCTTGGAAATTATTACCTATATAGACCCGTATTGCTTGTGTTTTACATCTTGGGAATTCTTACCTATATAGACCCGTATTGCTTGGGTTTTACGTCTTGGAAATTCTTACCTATATAGAACCGTATTACTTGTGTTTTACATCTTGGAAATTCTTACCTATATAGAACCGTATTACTTGTGTTTTACATCTTGGGAATTATTACCTAAATAGAACCGTATTACTCGTGTTTTACATCTTGGGAATTCCTGCGTGCTGATGTAAGTTTAATTCGTGCATTATATTAACATCGAAATAAAACCATTGCGCCCTCTATTTGTCTAAGAAAGTAAAAACTTTTATTAATGTGAATTCAAAACTTTATGAAAACACCTAATGTCTATCGGCAAGTGTCTGGTACAGATGAAGAAGTTTTTGATAACATGTGGTAGGAAAATGAGGAGAAGAGACGAAAGTTTTAGTCAAATATATTTCCTGTTTCAACTTTGATTGATAGTGCTACGTCAGAGCTCGAATTTTCACGTGGCAAGCATCATAGTCGTAGCGTTTCAAGCTGTCAAAACGTTTCAATAGATAGTAAACCTGGAACTGAAACTTGTTGTTCTGGAATGAGTATCTTGTATTGTTTTTTATCATCAGTGCTTTCTTTTTCTTTGTTAGTTTTTTTCTACCAATTTTCTAGTTTCTGAACTTTTTCTATCTACTGTTAAACACCTAACACTGTTCCGTCGTATTTCTGTCCCCTCTCCAGTATAATCCTTCAATCACCAAGAATATGACGATGGTGTGTTAAATACTCCCACATGTTCAGTAATAAACGGTTCTGTAGTAGATATCAGCGGTTTCCTGCTTCAGATTAACTTCTTAGAGCAGACGATCTGGCGCATGTCTAAACCAGAGACGTAGACATCTAAATATTAGATCTTCAAGCAATTAATGTAATTTTTTTATGAATAAACACGAACAACTTATATATCAAAACAAAACATTTATTAAATGAAATAGTCTCCATTCTTATCGATGATGCTTTCCCATCTTACAATCAGGTTGTTAATGCCCTGATTAAAGACCTCT